TGAAGGGAACTATGTTTTGGCATCTTAAATTAAACATGGAAATGAAAAATTCAATTTTTGTAGACTCTTAGTAGGGAAGAAAGCAAACAAATTCACGATACACTTGAAAATGCCATAAAAACAATGTCACGCCAAATTGTCACACCATTGACAGCTGTCACGCTTCAATGGCACGTACTCTGTTCGCTGGTTTGCGACATTGCAAAATTGAGATTTTCATATACTTTTTAGACACAAGGAGATTTTTCTCTATTAATCATAATTATAAATTATTACTTACATAACGATGTAGAATGATTGCGTGGACTATTTGTGCTTATGACTTCGATGTAATTGACTTCTCTACCTGACGATAGTTTGGTTTTACAGTAGAACTCAGAAGTGCACATATCCTCGTCGCCGTCTTCCGTCCGATATACACGGTATACAAAATGATAAATCCCTGGTTTAAGCGAAACTATTTTTATGCACGTGAAAGTGTTCAAGGTGTTGGTTGAATGATCGGTCTCGTTCAGATCGTAGACGCTGTAGTTGTCGTCTGAGTTAAAAGGGTCTTTGTAAATTCCTGCCGCTTTACAAATCAATAATTCCACTTTCCATGGCTTRTATGGCGACTTCCAAGCAAAACCAACGTTCATTTCAGAAGACATCATTCATTTGTCCAGAATATTTTGCGGTGCATTGCAAAATATGTTCAAGAGGGTTCGGTGTCAAATTGTCACATGACGCGTGACTCACGTTCAATTCCGGTTTGAACTATGGAATATGTCACGCAAATATTATTACTCTGGTTCCAGAGGTTTTCTCTTCTTTTATAGATGGAATTTTAGTATTTATCGTATTTTTGTTTTTTGCTTTTTAAATTTAACCTCGTTAAATTGAAAAGGAAAGACAAAAATCATTTATAAAAGAGAAAACCTCTGGAACCAGGGTAGTAAATTATTGACGCAAAGAAAATATCGAACGAAATAACAGCAAAAATTAATACGAAAATAAGAAATAAAAAGGTAAAAAAAAMCCAGAAAACAAAGACAATCGATAAAGAAGAAGATCAATAAAAACCTATTTATAGAGTTCCTATTTTCTTCGCTGACACGTCAATTTTGATCAATTTTGTCGAAAATTTATTGAGTATTATAATTATTATTTTCTAGATAAAAAAAAGCCTCAGCACTATTGTAATTCATTTTTACTTAGAAAATGATGCAAGAGAAAACAACAACAGACAAACAAACCAAAATTAAATTCTCTGAAATAGAGGAAACGTTAAGCCCATTTTGTTCGCGCTGAGGCTTGCCCACTTTTATGACTTTCAGTATTTTTAACCATATCTACGCCAAGGTTCTTCTATATAGAAGCACCTAATCAGYCAGGCCAAACACACATCTTATATAACAGCATCAGACAACAGTTAAAGACACTGAATCCGCGCTGGCGCTGAAACTTTGACGTMAACAAGCGACATGATGGCATCCTTCAACAACATYTTACGTTATCAATGGTCTTCTTTGTGTGGACACGCAGGTATAGAATAGAGGCTCAATCATGAGAGATTTTCCAACACGAGAAGATAAAATTCGTATCTCAAGGCGACCATGTACTATTCTTTTTATCATATAATTACATATGAAAGCAAATGTCATAAAATACTTTTTTTTCTTCCACTATAAAGAGTCGAAACCTCGAATGTGTTGATTTTTTACAACTTAAGCGAAATAGAGAAATATAGGTAGATAATTATATGATAAATGTCAATGAATATCTCGTAAGAAAATCATAAAGAATTTGAACGACTATAAGTTTGTTTAGCTTTGAAAATAGTTTACTTCATGCAATTTCGCTATGATGTCTTCAAGCCAATGATGGGAAATTCGACTTCTTTTCKTTTTTTCTTTTTTCTTTAAATTTAGATAGATAGATACGAAATGAAAACCAATTAATACTCTAGTTTGTTTACAAGTTGAGAAAAGAGACTACTTATTACATAATCATCTACCAAAAGWCATGTAAATCAATTTCTTTTTCCAGGGCGAATTCTCCCTTTGGTCTACTTAACCTTCCAGCTYTTCCGCTTTGTTGCACTGATCATGTTTACGACTTTCATCGTCGATTGTACAGTGTACCACWCTGAAACCACTGTAAATTGTACGGGAAATACTATTGTCAACACTCCTGGATGCAATGCATACTGTTGGAAGGGATTGTGGTTACTGTGCTCAATCATAACATCTGGAATTGCACTCTGCTTCCTCACTGTTCCTAACAAACTGACTGAGCAGCTACGGCCAGCCTCCAGTATCAAAGTAATGCAAACATTGTTGGTAAAACCATACTTCTGGTATATGAATATGATCTTCATCTTAGTCATGTTTTACGATGCCTTAATCGAGACCGAACATCTCGCAAAGGGTTCTTCAGCCGTGGAAGTTGGTGTAATAATGTCAAAGTTTATGATAYTGTGTTTGATTTTTCAATTAAACTTTACATATCCGCCATATCGACCAGAGTACTCTTGGGTTACCATCAGCTTGTATCACGTGACGCTTGTCATGTTCCTTTTGGATAACCTGTGCAAGTTTGTTGAATTGTCCATTTGGGTTTCTTATAAATTGTACGCCATAAACCCAGACAACCACAGGCAAGCGGTGCAGGTTTTACTATTTCAGGTAGGAATATATCAGACATTTTTTGAANCAACCATCGACACGGATGGGTTTGGGATATTTTTGGGGACACTTTTTTGGATTTTTTTGCCCGAAAAGAGTTTCTATCGATGCCTCTCGTCCAAAATAAGGTAAAAAACGTTGATTTACATATGCTGTCTCAGATAAAACTTCGTTTTTATTTAATTTCGGTGCGAAAAAAGGATTTTTGTCGATCGTTTTTGGCTCATTTTTGGGAGAATTTCGAGCGGAGTCTCCTCCCTTGTCACTATATATATATAGGTAGGGGATATTTTTTTAAACCCATCTATAATGCATTGTGACACTGAATAAAATAAAAGTAGACCATTTTTTTAAGTAAAATTTTATTTTTAACCATTATAGGTTCAAAGTCACTGCTTGGGCTCCCTGTGGATCGACAACGGCTCTCGACCAATCTGCGCTTGAGAATTCTACAAGTTATGGTAAAATTGTTTAATAACAATTGCGAACGGTTCATTAAGTTTTATGTCCTCAAAGTCATAAAATGTTCAAAACTTTATAAGTGGCACACTCTTATTAGCCAATCAGAGCTCAAGTGGGATAAAAATAGAACGTTCCCGGGGAATTTTGTGACGGAGTCATTATCGACTGACTGGATTCCCGGAAACGTTAGGCCCATTTGACTTGTGTTGATCKTGTGATGTTTGGCGTTAATACTCAGCTATTATTCGTAACCATATTCATGCGAATTCGTGCATAAGATCTCTGTGAYCGCAGCCAGAGAAACAACAACAGCAACGGAACACACTAGACATGGCAGTCTCTGCAGTCTTGAAGAACAGCATCCGATGGCTATGGACTTCCATAGGTAATTGCACACACGTAAAGAAAAATCACAAACACGCTTCATATTCTATAAAAGTGTCATCTTTACTGCAAATTATTTAACTTTCTTCTATTGAGATTTGGTTTTAAATATAGTTTTACTATGCTATGACGTCACATCAAAACATTGCTTGATTCCATTATTTTAACAATGGAAAACAAATAACGAGACGGCCAGAAATCATTTGTACACTTTTAACCGACCTCAAATGGACATTGCTTATTAGCATGATAATAAAGTTTCACAAAAACGAAAGATTAGGGTTAGAAGATGTGCAAAAACACCAAATGGAGGCTACCAAAGCCTCGGCGAAGACCCTGTATTTTTATTCCTTCATAACTTTGTTAGTCATTTGGTTCATAGCTTCAAAACTTTCCATGAATACCTATTTCTAATAGTTCTTCCATATGACTGAGTGTTTAAATGGTCTATAATATTGTCAATTGTATATAATCTATCGTGGGCAAAAATTGGTCTAATCATCTGCRAAGTCATGTAAATTATTTATTTTTCCAGGATTAATTCCCCCGCTTTACCTCGGTTTCCAGCTTTTCCGCTTTGTTGCACTGATCATGTTTACAATATTCATGGTCGATTGTACCGTGTACCACTCTGAAACCAGTGTAGATTGTAAGAACTTTACAAGGTACACTAAAGTCAACACACCTGGATGTGATGCATACTGCTGGAAGGGATTGTGGATAATTTGTTCCATTATAACATCTGGAATTGCACTCTGCTTCCTCACTGTTCCTAACAAACTAACTGAGCAGCTACGGCCAGCCTCCAGTATCAAAGTMATGCAAACATTGTTGGTTAAACCATACTTCTGGTATATGAACATGATCTTCATCTTAGTCATGCTTTACGATGCCTTAATCGAGACYCAAAATCTTGCAAAGGGTTCCTCAGCTGTTGAAGGTTGTGTGATAATGTCAAAGTTTTTGACACTGTGTTTGATTTTTCAATTGAACTTTACATATCCGCCATATCGACCAGAGTACTCTTGGGTTACCATCAGCTTGTATCACGTGACGCTTGTCATGTTCCTTTTGGATAACCTGTGCAAGTTTGTTGAATTGTCCATTTGGGTTTCTTATAAATTGTACGCCATAAACCCAGACAACCACAGGCAAGCGGTGCAGGTTTTACTATTTCAGGTAGGAATATATCAGACATTTTTTGAATGTTACTACGGACTCTCTCTACTGCTGACACTAAATTCAGCTCACTAAATTACTGTCCCGAGGGTGTCCGTAATATAGCAAGAGTTGACAAAGATAAAAAGACTGTATATCATAGTAGCCATGCACAAAGTTTAATTTCACCATTTCAAATGCTTAATGTGCCACTTTATTATTTTATCTTTGTAGGTTATTGATCTATCTCTTTATCACAGCTTTTTGTCGTTCTTCTGGAGCAAAATATTTCGTGGTAAAAAGGATGTGTTGATGGTATATACGCCAGACCTTGCTCAATCTGTGCTTGGGATTCAACATCAACAACACACATATCAACCCATGTTGCAGAGTTCTCAAGATTTTACTGAAACAGGCCCATAGGCTGCATCCAGACCAGGGGGGGCTCGTTACTCAGTCGGACCACAACGATGTGACAGTGACCCTATAATAGAGGATTCACATGGCGCACGGAAAAATA